AATTTATTTTTATTCTTCAATTTTGACACCATTCTTCAAGGCTTGTGATATGTGACTGAAGGGTTTGGGATGCAATTAAAGGGTCATTATTAACAGATAGCAAACATGTGCCATCGGCGTAAGTGGTGAGGTAGGACTTTTCGGAGTTTCTACAGAAGACCCGGGTGCCAGACTCGATCAAACGCCTGTTCACCGTCGAGAAAGACTCCCGTGCAGTACATACCGCGCTCCAACGCAGAGGAGACTACATCAACCACACGATGACATTGTTGGATAGTGGAATGCGATGTGCGGAATCCAAATTAGTGATCAGGAATAATATGATTAAGAGTCTAGGATGGGATACAGGCGTTTTAGGATGAGTTTTTCCAGGATTTTGCCTATGATAGGTAATAGAGAAATAGGACGGTAAGAGGATGGGTGTTCGGGTGTTTTTTTAGGTTTGTGTAACATTTTGACAATAGATAGTTTCCAAGGATCAGGGAAATGTGTGGATCGGAGCACACGATATAGATTAACTTTTAAATATGTGTTTTTGAATTTCGATCTTATTTATATATTCAAAAGTGATGATAAGTGCATGGAAATTATACACAACAAAAATATTTAGTCTAGGTACCAGACCGTTTTTGAATAAATATTTTATTTGGAAGATAGCTATAATATGGGTAAAATTTGAAGCAATGTGGAAGTAAATATTTTTTTACGGAGAAACAAAGTTGATATTCGTTTTTCGCTCCAGAAAAACTACACTTAAATACGAAATTTTATAGCAATCGAAAAATTAAAATTTTTTGCACGAAATGTTTGCCTCAAAAATTGTGATAACTTTAGAATGGCTCCACCGAACCACGCCAAAATGATTATGGATTTTGAACTCTATATGGTACATAATACAGTACAGAACCGACCTCCGTAATGAAATGACGGAGATATAAAATAATGAGTGGAAAATGTTTCTTAATTCAACAGAACTAACCGAGAATAATTGTAATGAAGGAATCAAAGTGATACGAGAGGGCGCTTGAACCCCCCGAAGATTAGAACAGGCTTCTTAAGTAACATGAGCTTAATATAATACGGACTCCGGCAATATTATGTACACATACATATGCAGTTTTCATAAATGTTTTCGTTGGTATTATTTAATATTTAATTGTATGGATTGCAGCGATATAAATATTAAAATTTGTATATATAGGGATAATTAAACAAATAAAAATACCCACAATGAAATGTAAATCAATATAGCGATTATAATTTTTACTTTCGCTTCCCCTTTGTCTGATAATACTTATTTTTGCTAAGAAGAGGGTAATAAGTGAAAGTTGTGTGAGTCGCGCACCAGTTTATTTTTTTTAAAACGTTATTCACATGGCAAAAACTATTTTATATTTATTAATATTTTTTTTTAAAAAATCTTCCATGTCCTTCCAACATTGTAGTTCCTCTTAGAAAAGGACGATTCACCAATCCCGACAGTTGTTCCAGAACCTCAAATTTTGATTGGATTGCTGAGTAAGTTGCTTACACAAACCTCCAATTTCTCATTTCTACATGAACATACATAACACCTCCAACTACCATAAGCATCATTTCTTTTGATGAACATCATTAGGTATCATTTATTAAGCAGACCCTACACGGTAATTCATGAATGAACGTCACAAGAAGTTCCAAGATTGCCCGCTATCGCTTTGATCATGAAGACCCTTACACGTTCAATCATTAGTGATCATTACTTATGTGAAGTTTCAACTTTTTTTTCTCTCCAATTTATTGCCTACTTGACTATTTAAAGAAAAAATAGTTGAGAATGGTTAATAATAATATAGACTAGGAATATAAACAACTATTTACTTTTATGAAATTATTTACTTAATAACGAGACCTAGGTAAACTAACCTATCTAGTAGTAAGGTTAGTCTCATATCGTTTTGACAAAAGTTAGTAAAATATAAGTCTACTACTTACAAAAATTAAGGAAAGGTATTGCGAAAATAATAAATTTGTTGAGGAAAATGGGAAAAGAACTGATAAATATACACAACGTTAAAGTTTTTTTTTTCCTAAAGTAAATTGTGAAGTTTCCTCATTTTTTTTTTAATTTGTTGCCCACTTGACTATTTAAAAGAAATAGTTGAAGATGGTTTTAAATTATAAACAATGGGTATGAAAAATTATTTAACTATTTACATATAATGAAAATCAGAAATTTATAATGGTTGTGAGGCCTAGGTAACCTAACCTATCCAGCAGTATGGTTAGTCTCCCCACTACTTTTACCTCAGTCCCCCCTCCACTTCTCGTGAATGAACCTTTGATTTCCGGATGTTCGGAAATCCGCAGCGCACCACCATCAGTACTTCATTCACTACCTTAGACGATAATTCGGAACGTCATTAGTGCAATTCCGATTGACCGTGTAGGGTCCCCTATACAGATGTGCTCCGTATGGATAATTTCAGCTTCCTGCAAAATTTACAAGTTTCCCCCTCGTCGTTATTCAAACTGGATTATAACCAAAAGGAGTTCATTTCTCTAACTGAATAAATCTATTAACAGATGTTTATATACTAGAAGAATAAAAAAATTCATTCAAATATAACTAATACTTTTCTGTAACAGATACTTTTCTTGAAAATTAATTGTAAAAAATAACCTTATTTGGTACTAGTTTCCTTACTTAGTTTTGAGATTACAGTCGTTTTCAAGATCATCACATTTATATAACCTCTGTGACCGAAATATATTTTGAATAATCCTACAGAGTATTAAGGGGACCCTACACGGTCAATCGGAATTGCACTAATGACGTTCCGCATTGTCGTGTAAGGTAGTGAATGAAGTACTGATGGTGGTGCGCTGCGGATTTCCGAACATCCGGAAATCAAAGGTTCATTCACGAGAAGTGATAGGTTATGTATGTTACCTAGGCCTCACAACCATTATAAATTTCTGATTTTCATTATATGTAAATAGTTAAATAATTTTTCATATCCCTTGTTTATAATTTTAAACCATCTTCAACTATTTCTTTTAAATAGTCAAGTGGGCAACCAATTAAAAAAAATGAGGAAACTTCACAATTTACTTTAGGAAAAAAAAAACTTTAACGTTGTGTATATTTATCAGTTCTTTTCACCTTTTCCTCAACAAATTTATTATTTTCGCAATACCTTTCCTTAATTTTTGTATGTAGTAGGACTTATATTTTACTAACTTTTTCTAATACTAAATTGTCAAAACGATTTTCTATGAGACTAACCTTACTACTAGATAGGTTAGTTTACCTAGGTCTCGTTATTAAGTAAATAATTTCATAAAAGTAAATAGTTGTTTATATCCCTAGTCTATGTTATTATTAACCATTTACAACAATTTTTTCTTTAAAAATTCTAGTAGCCAATAAATTGGAGAGAAAAAAAAGTGGAAACTTCACATAAGTAATGATCAGTAATGATTGAACGTGTAAGGGTCTTCATGATCAAAGCGATAGCGGGCAATCTTGGAACTTCTTGTGACGTTCATTCATGAATTACCGTGTAGGGTCCACTTTACAATAAAACTATATACAACAACGCTAATGAAAACCGGTAAAGAACCAGAACTCGAGATAAATACGGATAAGACAAAATATATGGTTAGCTGCAAAAACATCAAAAATTTCGATGATATCGATATAGAAGGGAATGTGTTTGAACGTGTTCAGAATTTAAGGTATCTAGGGTCTACGATAACTAGAAAAAACGAAATTGAAGAAGATGTTAAGGTTAAGTTGAAGGCGAGAAATGCTTGTTATTTTTCTGTAACAAAACTACTTAGTTCATGCCTCCAGTCCCGAAACTTAAAAATTAGAATTTACAAAACCATTATCATTCCTACGGCTCTTTATGAAGGGATGAGCAACGTCTTAAGGTTTTTGAAAATAAAGTATTGCATAGAATATTCAGACCAAAAAAGGACGAGTTAACCGGAGAATTTTTTTTTTAATCTTATTTATTGAAAAATATCACAATCTGTCTCAGGACATTTATAATAGTGTCCACAGATCACATTCACACTCTATGTACAGTAAATAAAATAAACCGGAGAATTAAAGCGGTTACACAACGCTGAATTGCGTAAACTTTGTCCGGTTAATATAATTGAGATGATTAAGTTGAGACGAATAAAATGGACCATGTAAAAAATCGCTAGGCTTAGTAATGAAAGAATTCCTGAAATGTTAAAATGCGCTACACAGACTGACAAGCGACCGAGGAGTAGACCAAAGCGAAGGTGGGAAGATTGCGTTAAGGCCGATCTGTGGAAATCGATTGGTGCTATCGCATCGAACCTTCGAGTTTGCTAATTTGGTTTATATAAAACTCTAATTTGGTAGGCTCATTATAATTTGGTTTTCGACACTATATTTTCCTTTTCGCCTCTCTAATACGGCGTCGCGTTATGGTGCAATTTTAAATAATATCAGATCACAGCGAGGATGAAATGTTGAACTATTGCTTGGCTTATAACATGTAGGTACGATTTTTAGTTTCTAAGATATTTTAGTATCTTCAATACAACTCTTTATTATTTGATTTTCGAGACTATTTTTTCCCTTTTTCGTCTCTAACAGGGTGTCGTGTTACGGTAAAATTTTGATTAATAGCTCATTACAAAGAGGATGAAATGAACATTTCCCTCGTTAACAAAATGCAGGTCCGATTTTTGAGATATTTTAATCCATATGCAAAAACACTGCAATCAGTCGATTTCAGCCGACTTTACTCGAGCGTTACACATCGGAAATCTGACAACTCAATCTAAGTGACTTCCATAAAAGCACAAAACGGGCTAAAAGAACTTTTCCTTCAATAAAAAAGTAAACAATAGTGAAGTATACTCTTAAGTAAGGTTAGGCGCACAACTCAAACAAATAACCCTATGCTTATGGCTTCGCCATAAAAAGGAACCCGATCCAAGTTTATTTCAATATTGTTCATTTGGATCTAGGAGTGAACGACGATAATTCATCTCTATGGTTACAAACCATACGCATGATAAAATGTAAATTAATCTATTAGATAGTTAAAAAAAAAAAATGAACTATGGTTTACCATTCCAAGATTGGGATATCGATATGTACAGAAGCCGTGCCTTAAAATTGGGTTTTGCTTCTCAAGCCGAAGAGGAAGTGCAATCGTCCTACGACAAGGAAAAATTGTTGATCGTCATAGCTCCCTGTTGGATCGTCCTGGAGGCCGCGAACGACTATATGTTCGTCGTGAAGAAGGATATCTACCGCCGCTTGGTCGATGTCAATCAGTTCTTGAGCGACTTCTTCCATTTTCAGTTCTATAGTGAATCGATTCCCAGGACTTTATACTTCAGAGACTTGGATCCTTACGTGATGAGCGTCTGCTGCAAGTACTTACACTGGAAATTAAAAAATAGAACGGCACAAGAACGCCCAGGGTTCATCTCCAATCCGATTTTGTTTAACCAGGTCTTGGATGCGGCCAAAACGTTGGGAATAGTCCCCATTGATATCTAGTTGGAACGGTTCCCAGATCATCACACAGACATTATTAAAAGATAAAAATATTATGGTATTAATTAAAATCCATTACAAAAATGCGTTTTACTTCTTTCATTTTTGTTTTTATTCACGTTGTACTTTTATATATAATTTTTTAATTCTATTTTATATTTATATTATGACCAGCCAATCTTCTTCTACTCCTCTGTTAAAAAATTAGGATTTTTCATTGATTAAAACCTCTTCTGGAATCACCCACCATATTTCTCATAACTCTCGACGGACAATTTCCACCCTCAAACTATTCCATTGCTTCCGCCATCTTCTACCTCAACATAGGCGTAGATTCCTAGTTTCCTCTCTCATTTTCTCCCACTTTGACTATAGCTGTCTGGTATATGATGGCCTCTCTGTGGAGCTCAGCGATAGACTGAAAAGACTAATGAACAGCTGCGTAAGATTTGTGATCGGGGCTCCAAGATACTACCATGTTTCTCACCACTACGCTGAGTTAAAGTGGCTTTTCCCCTTCTTCCGAAGACAATATTTCCTAGGTACGTTCCTCTACCAAATCATCAACAACCATCGTCCTTCTTACGCATACAACCTTCTCCAATTCAAATCCTCAGTCTACAAGATCTAGACCTTCTAACCTTTACATGCCTTCTCGCAGATCTGCCTCATTCAACTCTTTTATTGCTCGCTCTGTCAATTTCTGGAATTCCCTGTCTATCAAAATTTGACATTCCCCATCCATATCCACATCCAAAACTCTCCTATTCCAATTCCTATCCCAAAAACAGTCAGATAGCTGCTAACAATTCGACAACATACATTTATTCCATGCCATTCATTGTCAAATATCAATGCTAAATGATAATGTATTTACATATTAAGCAGGCACTTTATATTGTCAGATTCAGCTTTCTGTTTTCTCAACAGATATATGAGGCTTATTTTAATAAAGAATTTAATATATTTTTATTTTTGAATTATTTATTGTTTGCTTAAACGTGTATACTAGTCTATCAGTGCAAATAGCTTTAAGTGTCTTGTCTTAGTGTTAATTGTTTTGTATATAGTTTAGTTTGTTTTTTATATAGAATGTTTACCTGATATTTTCTTTACATTATTTCTTTTTTTCGATTGATTTTAATTTGGCCAGATGTAATCTTTTAATTTTGTTATTCTCAAGAGACTGTGTCCCAGAAAAAAGTTATTTTCTATTTATCTATCCATCTATATTATATATTTATTAATATTTCCTCGGATCTTTCCTATTCCAAACAATCAACACCAGACACCCTTCTTACATCTACAGTCTCCTACAGTTTAAACCCGTGGTCCACTCCCAGAAAACAAGATCCTGTGTTTCCGACCTTTATATCCCTTCCCATAGAACTAAGACGTTTGAATATTCCTTTATTTCCCGATCCACTGCCTTCTGGAATTCCTTACCATCTGAAATCCGCCATGCCTCCTCCTTGTCCTCATTTAAATATCATCTCTACCAATTCCTTCTCACATCCCAAAATGACGTTATACAATAAAATAAATATTTTGAAACATATTTTGACTGAGGTGATTGGTTGATAACATTTATTGAGTCTTAATTTTAAAAATCAACCCATGCTTATTTTATTTTATTATTTTTTTTTTCATTTAAATAATGTTTTTTTTTTTATTTCGTTTTTTCTCAAAATTTTATTTTATTTTTACTTGTTTTAATTTAACTTCACTGAAGATACTGTATATATTCTTTAATATTGATTAATGTAATTTTTGGCCAGATGTAGTTTTTATTTTTTTGTTCATATCTGTTATTCATAAGGGACTTTGTCCCAGAATAAAGTTTACTTTCTATCTATTTATAACTTATTAGTTCATAGATATCGTATTTTTTCTTGTATCCATCAATATATTCAAATTTTAGATATTGTTTTTCTTTTAATACTCACCTCCTCACCAGGTCAGCAAATTTTCCCAAAGGTGCTCTACATAAGTTTTTTCAGTTTTAACTGAAACTCCTTGCTGACACTCCTGTAAGCCACTATTTTTATTCTTTTATTAACTTATTTATTTACCTTTTTCTTTTCTTTATTTACCTTTTTCTTTTCTTTCCTCGCGCGGGCTCATTACCGCGTATGGGGAGCGTCCCACGGGTGGCGGATGTGGGGATGGTCGGTGGAAATTCCTTGGAAGTTCCTCCCGGCTAAGTCCGATGGACTCGCTGACCAACAATGAGAGGGGCCCTCCAGACTTGCTGGAGGGAGGGGACCTCCAGACTTGCTGGAGGTAGGGGCCCACCAGACTTGCTGGAGGGTGTGACGTAGGATTGAACGCCCTACTCACATATCTTTAGTTCACCAAACACCACAAAAAGTCATGGATCTCCCTAAGGTAAAACGCTCATTATCCGGAGGTAAACTAGTCCCCCGTTCGGGTCTCCGGGTGGGGACTGCTTTAGGGGATTCATGGTGCAAGTTGAAATATAGGCATTTAAATATTGGTACGTGGAACGTAAGGAGTTTAAACACAGCAGGAGGGCTAAAATCGGTCGCAAATGAGGTAAATGGGTACAATTTGGATGTCGTGGCTCTGCAAGAGGTTCGCTGGCCAGGGGAGGGCTCGATGAGGGAAGGAAAATACACTATTTGGTACGGAGGAAGCGGGAATCATTGTTTGGGTACCGGGTTTCTAATTAGGAGTAGATTACTATCCGCTTTGAGGGACGTACAATTCTTTAGTGATAGAATTTCGGTAGCTACATTTCAGGGACGTTGGTTTAAAATCGCATTAATAAACATACATTGTCCGACCGAAGACAGTGACGATGAAGTCAAAAGTGAATTTTACGATAAACTCGAACGGGTTTATGATAAACTACCGCGAAACTACATGAAAATAATTGTAGGTGACGCGAACGCAAAGGTAGGAAGGGAAGAAGTTTATATTCCGACGATTGGTAAAGAAAGTTTGCACGAATATAGTAATGATAATGGGATCCGTCTGATAAACTTTGCCATCTCGAAAAACCTGATAATTAAAAGTACGACGTTTAAACACAAGGATATTCATAAATATACTTGGACATCACCGGATTCACAAACACGAAATCAAATCGATCGTGTCTTGATACGACATAGCTGGCAAAGCAGTATAATTAATGTACGGTCTTATCGCGGAGCAGAATGTGGGTCGGATCATGAATTAGTAATCGCGAAACTTCGACAAAAACTTAATATAAAAAAGAGAAAAGAAAACCGTTTAAATTTTGAGAATTTTAATTTGGAAAAATTAAAAAATCCATCAATTAGAAACCAATTTGAGCTAGATGTTAAGAATAGGTTTGAAGCTTTAGAGCTTCCTGACGAGGACCACGAGGATATTGACAAGTTATGGGTAGAGATCAGGGATAATATTAAAGCGGTCGGTAACTCGTGTCTAGGAAAAAAGGAAAATAAGAATAACAAACCGTGGTTTGATGAAGATTGCTTAAACATGTGTGAAAAAAGAAAAGCCGCTAAATTAAAAGCTCTAAATAATCCTAGTGAAGACAATCTGGAATACTTCCGAATCTCAAAGAACGAAACGACAAAATTGCTCAAAAATAAAAAAAAGGAGTATCTTAAAAATAAAATAATTGAAATAGAAACTAATAGAATCGAAAATAACGTAAGAGACATGTACAAAGGTATAAACAGATCACGTAAATATGTAGGGCCCGTAACGTCTGGAATTAGGGATGATAAGAACAATATTCTGACCGATCCGGTTGACATATTGAATAAGTTTAAGGACCACTTTGACAATATTTTAAATACGGGAAATTATGATCTGTGTCCTCCTTCTGAGTACCAGAGTGCTGAACCGTTAATAGAAGGACCAAGTAAAGAGGAAGTTGAAGTAGCTATCGGAAAATTAAAATCATATAAAGCAGCGGGAATCGATAATATTCCTAATGAACTAATTAAGGCAAGCGGGGCAGCTGGAGTTTCTAAAATACATCAGTTGGTTAAAAAGATCTGGGTGAACGAGAAATTACCTGAAGAATGGAAAGAATCTATTCTTATTCCGATTCACAAAAAGGGTCCGAGGACGGATTGTAATAACTATCGAGGAATTTCACTCCTTCCGGTATGTTATAAAATATTCACTTCAATCTTAACCAGTCGAATCACGGAATACGCCGAGGAAATTATCGGAGACTACCAATGCGGATTTAGACGGAATCGTTCGTCAATTGATCAAATATTTTCTTTACGGCAAATATTAGAGAAAAAATTGGAGTATAACGGTATTGTTCACCAGCTGTATATAGATTTTAAAAAGGCCTACGATTCTATTGACCGCCAGAAACTGTATAATATTCTAATCGAGCAGGGGATTCCAAAAAAACTAGTAAATCTAGTCAGGATGTGCTTGACGGAGACACTCAATAAAGTTAGAATCGGTAATAATTTGTCCAAAAAATTTGAGGTTCGTTCGGGTTTAAAACAGGGGGATTCTCTTCCGCCTGTCCTGTTCAATTTGGCATTAGAACATGCCATTAGGGAGGTAATGCGAACCGAGAAAGGGTTGGATCTGGGCGGGACAACATCCGTGCTGGGCTATGCTGATGATCTGGTACTGTTAAGCGAAGACGTTGAAACTATAAAACTAAATACGACAACGTTAATGAAAGCCGGGAAAGAACTAGGACTCGAAATAAACGTGGATAAAACAAAATATATGGTTAGCTGCAAAAATGGCGATACTACTGGTGACATCGATATAGATGGTAATATGTTTGAACAGGTAGATAAATTTAGGTATCTAGGTTCAACGATAACTAGAAAAAACGAAATTGAAGAAGAGATTAAGGTTAGACTGAAGGCGGGAAATGCTTGTTATTTTTCTGTGACAAAACTACTTAGTTCGCGCCTCTTGTCCCGGAACTTAAAAATTAGAATCTATAAAACAATTATCTTGCCTACAGTTCTTTATGGATGCGAAACTTGGCCGCTTACATTAAGGGATGAGCAGCGTCTTAAGGTTTTTGAAAATAAAGTATTGCGTAGAATATTCGGTCCGAAGAAGGATGAGTTAACCGGGGAGTTCAGACGGTTACA